AAGTCAGTCCTTCAGATGGTTGAGAACTACTGTTTTGCACACTCCAGACAGTCGTATCAATCAGACGGCTTCATACCTCCTGAAAAATAAATGATAAACGTGACGAAAAGGTTGCCTTATTCTCCACCTGAAGAATGTCAGTAAACTTACCGGAGACAAGGTACTGTGTTCATTAGTTGGGGAGTGAGATATGCGTCTCCGTTTCAACTCCGTCTGTGGAGACTCGCCAGACCCGGAGGCAGATTCAAGCAATGAGGGAAGATAATTGGGCAGTGTCGAGACAGTTGGGGAATCACCGAATGATAGCGGAGACTGCACGACGGATGCGTTGCTTGCAGTGGATGCGATCACACCTGGCATGGTGGTGTGAGGATTTGATTGTATTCTATTCTTTCGCAGGTAGATCACCGGCAATCCGGCCAGTCGAGCGGCTTCGCCAAACAAACTACCCAGTTTGTTCTTGCCCCACGGGCGCTCGGTGAACCAATCCATCACAGCAGACGAGCTTCCTTGTCTGATGGACGCATTAGCGAGCTCCTGTCGTGTGAGCGGCTGCAAGAATGATGAGAAGATAGGGAGCTCAAAAATCGAATCGGTCGTGCGTGGTACGACTGCCGGACAACCCGAAGGAAGCACGGAGCGTGCCAGCGAAAAACGAAGGCCACATTCGGACTATTTACCTTACGACCAACATCAAAAGCTTATCGAAAATTGTTTTTCACCTTGAATACACCGCAGTATATCAGGCTGATTCTGCGTTTGGCACAGAGCAGCTACACTACTCAGTGTAAGAGAGTAGATTCATCAACTGGGATCTAATGGGCAGCTAGCACGCCCCCCCTCCACGGGTTTTCTACCATACGTCTAGCCAGCTTGGATCACGACCATTAAGCCCAAACTTTGAATGCATCGAGGTCCTCTACGGCTTGGAGTAGTTCCACATCAAACTTAGGGTTGCTAGGTTACAGCCGTCTACAAAGTTACGAAATCTGAAAACACATCAGCAGCAGCCTGTCCGTTTGTTATCACATTTGCCCGTGTGTAGTTCGTCAGGCCTCGGACATGTATCCAGTACAATCGAATGAGCTGAAAACAAAGCGAGGAGTCGACTCGCCGAGAAGGAGTAAGACCAGTCCCCATTCCGACTACAACCCATATGCTTGAGGTCATTTAATTTGCGGTGACCGATTATTCACGCGTCAAGTGATGACCTGAAGTGCTTGCAATAAAGTAATCAATAGTTAGACAGTGCCACTCCCAAAAAATGAAAGATTGCCATCTCGCGTGATAGAAAGTGAAGCCCTGTGCAGATATCTTGCAGAAAGATTTCCAAGAATCGCTCGGTCAGCCTAAACTCCCCTAAACACCAAACTATGCTAGGGGAGAGTGTAGCAGACAACGTAACGTGGGAAAATTAAAAAGGAATAACAATTAAAACGGCCGAACCTGAAGATAGAACTTTGCGTGGAGATATCGGCATGATACAGGCCGATGGTCTCGTAACGCCTTGAAGATCGCCACGGGACATGGGCAGCGAACAGGGAGTGGTTCATTGTCGAGAGGCGCCAGTTCCTCACTAACTCCCAACTTGTACGAACTGTCCGGTCCAGCAGCCAGATAGTAGGACTTGTTAGTAACAGGGTTGACAAAATAAAGGAACTCCGTCAAGCCATCGGCCGTTTTCCCCAATTGAAAATCGCCCCACCGAAGGTTTCCGTGCTCTGAACGGTTTTCAACTTCGAAGGCGACTGAGTTGATAAACCAAGCGCAGAAGTTCAATAGGAAAGGTTGATTGGCGCTGAGAATGCCTCGGCGGAAAAGCTTTTCCACGTATGATGGAAAGTCACCGCACTGAAACGCGCGGGCCGAATTGATTGCCTGAAATACAAGGGAGGTCATGAAAAGAACTTCATTATTAAGCGAAGGTTTAATCGTAAAACTAACCTACGAATGGATCAACTTCCAACATTTCGGTGCAATGCTGAACAAACTTGAATGTACAGAGATCTTACACAGAGAACAGTCAGGTCACACAAGTAAAGCGATTACCGATTGACGTTCGGCGTCAGCTGTTGGGTAGTATAAAAGGGATCTCAAGTTTCCTAAAGAAAACCGGGCAGACGCGAAGATATCGATCAGTGTTCCCTTACTAGTCAGGAGGGATTCCTCAGGGTCATCATGATTATCAGCTCTAAGAACCCGTACTTGTCTTAAAGTGGTCCCAGCTGCCACAATATCATCCTTCGGTGATTTGGGGAGGTGGGGTAGGTGGCTGCGCATTGGAGGCGGGAGCTGATAAATTGGTGCGTAAATACAGCACTGTCAATAGACCTTTGGGTGGGGAGTTGGGAGGGGAGCCATGCGTTGAAGGCAATGGCTAGTATGCACGAGAGACACTGTGGGCGCGATTGGGCCATGTCTGATAATGTGTCTAAACATTGATGTGTCCCTTTGTAACGTACTACTCATAAGGTTGCTGACAACTCTTCGACAGCCCACGACCGGTTTCGCCATTCTCGGGGCTCATCAGGTAGGCGCAGTCCCCGAGTTTCCGTCAACCTTATGTTCTAATTGAAACCAAATTGCACGAAATTAGCGAATATACACTCATTTGCAAACTAATTTGGTTTTTTCGAGAGACTCACCTGGAACCCAGCCGGATCTCTCGTTTGTGATGTTCTCAGGCAACTGAATGTGCTGCACCAGGCCGCCTCATGTTTCAGTCGCTACGATGTTCGAGATATCGCGATACACGTATATCTTTGTAATGTACTACTCATACGGTTGCTGAAAATCTTGATGATAGTCGATAGTCATCAATCTCCGATATCTTGGAGGATCACACCCGCAAAAACCCAAACCCACAAGAGCTCTCGTCCTTACCGAGGTTCAGGGGGTGGCGTAGACGGACCGGTCACGTGACATACTGACCAGTCAACACAGTCAGCAAATTTGATTATCTAAGGTAGGACTCTTATTCTGGCCACTTGACGCCTCATTTGAAGGAGTGAAGAGCTTGTATTAGCATTGAAAAACGTAGTACCGCGTAACCAGTTGTGTGCAAACGTCCGTGGGCTGAATTCCATCGGGGTTGCGTTGACACGAGTGGAAAAAAGTCGACAGGCGAACGACAACGAACAAGTAATCTAAGAGAGCGTAGTACGAATGTGCACAATAATGGGCACATTTAGATAGTAGAAACTGAAAAGCACAGGTGCTGAATTGCCTGGGTTCTAGGGTCTAGATCGGATAACCAGTGACGTGAAAGATAACTGGGTCATCGTGGATAAGCAGCTGTGATCACGTGACATGGAGATGGTGAGTGGAAAAAGAGAAACAACGGATAGCGCGGATGAGGGAGCAGAGCTAGTCCTCATGGACAAGGGAAGTGTGCAAACAAACAGGCTTGTTCAAATCAAGCCACCTAGACAATCGGTTTATCACGCCAACTGTCGCACACTAATCGTCGAAGGTTGTCAAAGAGTTTCCAACAATCTTATGAGTAGTGTTTTACGTCTAGCCAGCAAAGCATTGCGATATATTGGTTATCGTACCAAGTGAAACATGAGGCGGCCTGGTGCTGCACATTCAGTTGAATTGGATCAGCACAAACGAGAGATTCAGCTAAGTTCCAGGTGGGTCTCTCGCAAAACCAAATTTGTTCGCAAATGAGTGTATTTCGCTAGAGTTCGCTTCATTGAGGAACCTCGATATATTGCAAAACACACATTATGCGTCCAACGTCGGATGGTTTTCGGAAATCGGGTTTAATAGCCTTTCCAACCTGAATCCAGTCGGTCAACCAATCAAATCATAGCCTAAGTGGGAACCTTGAAGAACAGAGTGTGTCTGGTTCCGGCAACCAGCTAGACAATACCTAAAACATATCTGTCTACTTCTCTGGACATTTGAAATTAGTAAATTGGAAAAGTTCACGGTCGTGGGCGAAAGACCATGGAAAAAACACCCGGACTACACAGGAGAGATTAAAAGCGATCGAACGCGTGTCAGATTCGTGCTTCAAAAAAGGCTAGTGCGAGCGGGATAGATCGAAGCAGCGACATGAAAATGTGCATATCTGTCTCCCGTCAAAACAAAATTCTTGTGCAAATTAGAGTATTTGTTGAGATCCGCCCAATCTAGTTTCAGGCACAACATGAGGTTAAGGAAAGCTAGGGGACTGTGCCTACCTGATGAGCTCCGAGAAGGTCGAATCTGGTCATGGGCTGTCGAAGGATTTTCAACAGCCTTATGAGTAGTGTGTTACATCTAGACAACTAATAGGCACAACCACTAACCCATCGCTACGCATTACTACGCTCCCCAATAACGAACTGATGATGTCACCTCGATTGGTGATGATACGTTTGCAATCAAATTGCCCGGTTCAGCGAACAAGCCAACGATCATCTACGCTACCTGAGCTACCGACGTTCTCCTCCACAGAAAAGTCGATTCACAGCAGATGCTTCCACATCCCATCTCGAAAGATAAGCATGAAAAATGTCATCGAACAGAAATCGAGACTGTACATTGGTGCTAATGAGAGAATCAACTGGATCTCCCCTGGAACCCAGCTGAATCTCTCGTTCATGAAGTTTTTAAGTAACTAAACGTGGTGCACCAGGCCACCTCAGGTTTCAGTTGGTACGATATTCGAGACATCACAATACATGTACATTCGTAATGCACTACTCATAAGGTTGCTGAAAATTCTTCCACAGCCCACGACCGGTTTCGCCCTTCTTGGGGCTCATCAGGTACGCACAGCCCCAGAGTTTCCCTCAACCTTCTGTTCAACTTGAAACCGAATTGCACGAAACTAGTGAAATACATTCATTTACATTGGTGGGAACTCGAAGACTGTGCCTATCTGATGAGCCCCAAAGAAGGGCGAAACCGGTAGTGGGTTGTCGATAGATGTTCCGCCAAGACTACCACGATTAACAAGAAATTCATGAAACATAACTCAGTTGTCGAATAACGGTTTGGAAAGACACGCGTGTGGTCATGGGAACTGATGGAGAAGAGCTTAAAGTGCACCAAGCGATGCAGTTCACCGCCAAGATCGCATTCACGGTTAGTTTGTCCAAGCACCCTTTACTCAGTTCATGAGTCTCGTTTGAGCAATCGTCCTCCTGTCATGGCGCGATCATTCTGGTGAGTCGACAACAAACGGGGGGAGGAATGGACTCGAGCTTCGCTCTTATTAGAGCTCATCAGCAGTGCGTAGTTTTAATCGTACCAGGGTTCTAACTCCACACATCTGATACACGGGGCGAGGGTGTCACCACCACTAAGCCAGTGCCATTGGACAATAAAAATTCAGGTGTACCCAATTGGAGTCATGTGAGTATGTATTCTACATATCCTGTAACCACCGACAACCAAAAAAAGGAACATATAAAGGCCGATCTCCTCCTAAACCATAGTGGAGCAGTGTATGATGGATTACCCTGAAAAAAGTTATTAGGACCGCAAACAAGGATCAAAAGCAACGAATGAACAATTCACAAACTCACTTCCTGTAAGGTCCGCAGATTATCCGGGGAAGGTTCGGGGATGGGAAGGCTGTACGTCAGTTCGGACACGATCGGTAGATAAGCACAAGTTCGCGTAGCCGTGCCAGAGGCTCGTCCAACTGGCTTGTCAGATGAAGCACCTTTTTTGGCTAAGGCAACTTTGGAAACGGGTATTTCATCGCTAGACATAAGAGTGGACGTTGACTCTGCTGGGATAGGTTGCCTTTCCGAATGAATCACCACTGAGGATACCGAAGATTGTGTGGAAGGCGAGTTTGCTACGCGAGATGCGGTCGATGAGATTGGGAACACTCGTGAACGGAACCGGTCCGAGGTAGCCGAAAAAGAAGTAACCTCGGGTAGACACGGCATTCCAATATTTGCTATCCTGTGTTGGCCGTAATTGCTAAGGAGCTCTCCAGCAGTCGCCTCATCTGGATCGGGGTCCTCATAGACTTGATCATAAAACTATGATAGATGAAAGACACAACAACCATTCAATATAGATGACAGATAACGACTAGTGGTGGAAAATTTCGCACGAGCGCCTGCGCTCGATGATACCTCAAGTTTCCGTGTGAGCCTTTACGTCCACAAGTTCGTGTGACACAGATCGCCTTAGCAAAGAAAGAAAAAAATCCTACCCAAATATCCTAGATTGGGTGTATCGAATACTCTTTGCCCCCTGTTCACACAGGGGTGTCGGAACCACTGAAGCATACGTAACACTAAGTAAACAAATGTTGGCCTGCCAATCGACGTGTCCCAGATTAGGCGCACAGGTACCGCTGGTGGTCTTATCGTGCCCACCTTTGGGTCTCTACTTGATACCCAACACTAACCTTTGGCTTCATACACCTGATTGCGTGCACGTAGCTGCCATGTCACTGGAAGAAAGCAGGCAAGGGTGAGAGTCTATCAGGCTGCCCAAGCAGCAGTCAAAATGCAGAAATTTGGTTCGAACCTTCTAGTCAGCAAATTCGGGCTTTAACGACTGAGCTATTTCGGTTTGCGTGCGACAGCGGTCACGTGTTGGTACAGAACTTCGACAAGCGGGGTAGGTCAGACCGAGGTACTTGGGCGTTCGATCAAAGGCAAATTGCACACGCAGTAGCCTCCGTATCCGAGCAAGCACTGTCTTTCGGGATCGATTGCTTTGTCGTTTCCGTGAGCAACTTCAAGAGACCGCGCTCGAATTACCTGTTCGAAGTAATTTTTCGCTAGTCGGTCAAAACGTTGTACATAGTTATTTACAAAATATGTTGTCGCTACAATGAGCATATCGTCAGGTATCTGTTTAACCTATAGGAAACTACTCATAAGGTTGCTGAAAACTCTTTCACATCCCACGACCGATTTCGCCGTTCCACTTCGGACTCATCATGTAGGCGCAATCCCCGAGTTTCCCTCCAGTCAACCTGGAACCCGAATCACACGAAATCCGACAAATACATTTGGTTTGCACGGGAGACTCCCCTGAGTCCAATCTGGTCTCGATTGAATCTCCCGTTCAGACCAATTATTATGAGTAGCCCATTAAATTTCCACTAACCTATTGTGGTAGCCAGCTTCCCAACAACCGAAGTGCTAATTCAAGGGCGTACACTATTCGTCAGGAAGGTCAGATTCCTGGAAACGGTCCCAGAATGCCCGGAACCTACTGAGACCCTCAAACCCCACCAAAGGCGCAGTAGGGGAGCCGTCAAGCAACTGGGCCAGAAAAGCCAGTTGCCGATTAGATGCTCAAACAGTCAATCAACTGAGCAACGGTCGACGACGAGAAGTGTTCAGGCATGCAACAGAAGAACGGCCAATGATTCTGACTGTTCAGATATTTCGTAGAAGGACAGCCCACGACGATGGGCGTTCACCCAACGCCGATCGGACAGCCTGCATTAAGCTAAGCAGTGACCTTTAAATAGCACGATGCGCTTCGTAATTTGTTTCACTTGCTTGTTCGCAATAACGCTGTAGAGTTTCTCGTTGGTGAGTCTTTTCCCGACACTTGGGTATTGGAGAGGGGGGAGCGGTTAGTTACAACCTGCGTCTAACAGGAATACAAACATTTTGATCATCAGACTAGGAATACGATTTCATCAAATGAGTGAATTTGTGCAGAATTCGTCCTGTAGGTGAAGCCGATCTATTCTGAAAAGCCTAGAAGCACAGTACAGCTGTTTCATCCTTATTGGGAATCATCAGCAGTCCGCATCTCACGAAACTCCGGAGAGTCTCGAACCCGAAGTTTGAACACTTAGCCGTTCGGCCACGAGCGGTTAATCACGTGTAATTAACTCGCACTGACACAGGATAGAGCGTCGCTCAGCTTTCACTCACGGGATCAACATCACGCGGTCACGCGTGTTGACTGGCTCCTCGAGCAATTACTTCTCAGATGGAAGTTTCACTCATTGGGTGAAGTTTATTGTTCCACTGAGCTACTTATAGATTGTTAGTAGTGTAGGGAGATTTCGTGAGATGCACACTGCTGATAATTCCCAATAAGGAAAAAACAGTTGTACATTGCTTCTCGGCCTTTCAGCATAGATCGGCTTCACTTACAGGACGAAATCTCCAAAAAATCTAGCGAAGAAGTCACTCTCTTAGAAAAGAGCTGCTTCACACCAAAGCCACTCAGACATACAACCGCCATACTGAAAGCTAAACGAGGCTCCTGTGGTTCGTATTCCCCAAACTGAGTCCTATTCAATACCAATAATGGACAACCGTTGTTGGAACAGCTTGCCTCATTGATACCATTGTACGGTGAACGAGCGAGAACCAGTTGACAAGTAGAACGTTCCGAATTACATTGCTGGTCTAACAGTTGTGCGCTGACGTGAGATTCAGAGAACCTCTGTTCACATCACTTCCGGTTGAACAGTAGTTCTGTTATCCTGGTTTATCGATGAAGCACTGGAGTCGAGTTTCGCTCCAGTTAGAGCTCACCAGCAGTGCGCATTCTTGGGGTTGAACCGCAGACATCTGACATACGAGGTGATCTTGCTACCCCACCAGCGCATGCTGGGCTTACATAACCTATCGCATCAGAGCGGGCGAATGTGCTCACCCGTGAACCGTATGATTGATTCGCCCAAAGACTCGGACGATGATCAAATAATTGTTCTGATTGGCCATTCCTCTCAGGACTTTCCAGACGCGGGACTTCTTTTGCTTGCCGGAGGAAGTGTTCTAGTTCAGTGAAATAATCTCCTCCAGGGGAAGTCACCGAATGTTGCGTGAATGTTTACTGAAGGAAATATCGTCTCTGCTGACTGGTTGGCATGAACGTAGAAACCAGCTCGACTAGAGAGAAACTCGTAATTCGGAGTTAAAATGGTACCCGAGCTCCGTCGCAGAGACTCCACACTCCAGGAGGTTAGTCAGCCACCACTTGCTTGCGATTCTTCTGCAGAGACCACCCCTTCGAAGTAGTCCTTCCCTCTCGTGAACGCTGTCCTCCTAGTAGGACGTTGTAAAGTATTGAAAACATCCAGTGAACTGCCAGCCACACGGTGACATACTCGGAAGTGTAAATTTACACTTCCCAAAAGTGTTTTGAATAACTTTTCATGAAGGAAACTACTCACAAGGTTGCTGAAAACTCTTTGACAGCCCACGACCGGTTTCGCCCTTCTTGGGGCTCATCAGGTAGGCGCAATCCCCGAGTTTCCATCAACCTTATGATCTACTTGAATAACCTTTACTAGGCGTATGGATAAACATGAGGCGCCTCGGTTTGTAAAGCCTGTGTTCAGAAATCCTGTAGACAAACCCTCACACAGTCTTCATTTGAGGAGACCTTCTTTAATGTTTCCTTTCCACTCAAATGAAAAATCTGATGTCCACTAATGCATGCACATACGTGGTTTACGATGAACCTTATGTCTGGCATCACTTCTCCTCGTTGCGAAAAGCCTAGTGTCCTTAGGGAGAGGGCGTTGCATTTCCCAAGGGGCCTTCAAAATGGATTCACAAGTGTGGGTTAAAGACTTCTCGCTCGCAAAGTATCGGACATCACATCGCTTCCGTACTATATTTTCACTACAGCTAATATACAGAAAAGCAAGCAACAGATGTGGAAGGATGTGCAACAGAACGTTCCATCCGAATACGTGCCACCAATAGTTTTCCCCGCCAGGCGAAGTGATCTGGCATGGAAATGCACGTGTGAAGACCAGCAGTAATTGGAAGACAAACAGTGCTCAATACTGTCCAAGACGTAGTTAGCGCTGGCCCAGTCACGATTTGCACACCAGGCACGAGATTTCTGTCCTACAGGATCAAGTGTGAGTCGGTGGTAAGAATGAACATTCTAGCATGCATCAACGGGGCCGTACGTTCGTAGCGAGCTCAAAGTGGAGAGCACATATAAGTCACGAACTGTGGTTTCAAAAGCAGCTTTCCGTGAACACAAATTTGACTAAAAGCTAACAAGTCCTCAGAGTGAGTAGCATTTGACTGCCGGGTATTTGTCCAGTCGACCCCCTCCCCCCCAAATGGTGGTGGCCTAAGGTCATTCACGGTGTGAGATTCCTACGATTCAAGCAAGCAGACATTTCCCCATGAATGTCGTCACCAACTTTGCCCCCCAAACATTGTTAGCTATCATTTCATCCCCCATGGGACTAATTTCTGTTCTGTATTCTATCGTCCAATTTCCAAGGTAGCATAAAACTCAACAATGCATCATTCGATAGCGTGTTCGCTCACATGCCCGCACTAAGGTTTCTACTTTGGTCGGGAAACAGTTTTGTTAACCATCCCGGCTAGTTTGATGAGACCCTCTCTTTCTCTCTAGTCTTCAGTGTACGCGAGGTTTGCATGAGTAAACCCGTGAATCCAGGCTCGACTATGGGGCAGGTGGTTGCTGATGATGGAATGGGAGAAGGGGATAAGGAGTGGCAACTGCTGTCAGCCACTTGTTCAGCCCACAAACCACGCTTCGGAATACAGCGGTTCCAGCTGCTACAACTCCGCTCGTCGAGGATAAGGGAATGAGAGACAGGCGATGACCGAATCTTGTAGCCACCCTTTCGCCACATACGTGACTGTACACGTCACCGTCACTCGCCAGATCACGAGATCTGTCTTTTTTTTTTCTTACACTCACAAATCACGCCACACATTCGTGACTTACTTGACTACACAGCTCACAGTCAAGCCAAGACTCGGCTTCTTTCTCTACACGTAGAAATCACGACACACAAGGGTGACTCATCTGACATCGACTGTCTACCGTCTGATAAGGTAGCAACAAGTCATGTGCTGACGTCCACACACACACAAACGTTCCTACATATGGGATAACAGCACAGCAACACAACTCAACAGAGCTACGCAAGTCGCCCAGCTTGGAGCAGAGCCACTCAGGACTTTACGGCGCTTCACTCACGGATAGTCAGGGAATACGTGTGGCTGCCACAACAGCGAAGAAGACACGAAACCTGCATC